GACTACCTTCTGCCTTCCGATCCAGCCTGCGAAGGGAATCCCTCATTCGTTTGCATACAGCGCCAGTGTCGTCGGAATTGGAATTTTGTTGTACATCATCACTATTCCCATGTATCTCCATATTTTTGTCCATGTGAGGAACTCAGGAAATCAAATGGGTATAAAGCGAGATGGAAAACTGGCCAAAAAGATTTCAATCTTGGTCACAAACAATTTTATGTTTTTTCTTGTTCCTGTGTTTATAGGAGTATTATGGTTGATGACTCCAACTTTCAGCAAAGTTTCTTTAACGACCAGAGAAATTTTGGTGGGTTCATTAACAACTGTTTGTTTTAGCATCAACTCCTTTTTAAATCCTCTTCTTTATGCATTTAGAGACAGAAGGTTTCGAGTGACATTAAAGAATAGATTACATCGTCTTATTCATCCAAACACCACTTTTGTGCAACACGTCAGCTATAGATCAGCGGCCGATAAAAGATCTAATGCCGGGAACACTATAAAACTTAAATAGAAAAATAAATCCACGCAGATAATCGTGTTGACGTTAAAGTGTAGACGTAACTTTCTTTTTCTTTGCAAACTCTCAGTCGATAATAAATCAAGTTTTAAACGTACCCGTTAAGCAGCGTTATATTTTAATTAGAAAATAAGAACTGTTCTCCATTTTTTTCTCTTTGTCGTTGCGAAGGGCAAATGCGCAAAATGTCAACTCTTCATAACTCGCCGAGCATTGCTGTCGGAATCTCCATTTGCCACTCACGGATAACGCTGTTTAACATTTTCTTCAGAAGCTAAAATCTGCATCAGTGTATAAGTTACGAGATTTCTTTTTTTCATCATCTTTAACTTTGTGCAATAATTACTTGCACAAAGTAACCACTGGCACAAAGTAATTACTTGCACAAAGTAATTACTTGCCCAAAGTAACTACTTGTACAAAGTAATTACCATCAAGCTTTGTTGATTCGCTGCCTGGATATGTTGGCAGCCATACCAAATCGCTAAATCACATCTACCGGGCTCAGTTTTATTTATCTCTAATCCCAGTGGAAGCCTTACCACGTATGCATTAATTGTTGAAACATGCCCTCAAGACGGCTGTTTGAGTTTTTCCTTTTCAGTTTCGATGGGGCGTTTTTTTTTAAAATATCGCACCGTGCTCAGCAAGACATTTACCGACACAAAACTTAGGCACCTCAGATTGGAATACCATTCACTGTGCGACAATGTCGCAGACAACTTTAAGCATAACTTCAGGCTTCTTAGTATTAATCTAAAAAGACAAAGAGAAGCGAAATTAGCGAAGGAAATCTCTCTCGTCGCTGGATTTTACTTGATTTTGAACTTCTAATTAACTAATTGAAAGTTATTACTTTATAGACTTTTAATTTATAGGGTCTGTAACTTGATCGAAATTGGTCTTTTTCTACTTTCTGTTGAATTGAAGCGTCTTCCTTTTTCGTGAAACGATAATTATATGACATCATGACCAGTATATCGTAATCAAAATTTTAATGAATTAACAACTTTCTCTTGTGACCTGCACGAAACAGAATCCTTGTGATATTTCATAACGGACCTGATCTTGCTGTAACGGTTCATATTCGGTTATTAAGATATCTCTTGAAAATGTCCGATGAATCTGTTCTCTTTTTAGCAAGTATTTTCTGTTAGTATAAATTTTTCCTAAAAACCAAAACATCAAAGCAGGAAGCGCTACTGAGGAGGGTATCATCACGTATGTGTTTTAAAACTTATCGAATGGCTTGCACAACTTTCCATTCAATTTTTCCATAATCAGAATGCTTCTTGACTTTCGTGGATGCAATATCATCGCCATGTTTTTCTCCATATACCTTATACCTTGCTAACTATGTAGAGCTTGTTTATGCTCAATATCCCAAGTTTCTCCTCTTAAAGATATTTTTTAAATGGGCTTTACCCGCAAGATTGAGTGACTGTGAGATCAAAATTAGTAACTTTTTTTTTCCAAACATCCAAAGACTTTTGCATTTGATTCTTTTATTCTAGAATATATATGTACATATATGTACATATGTTCTTTGAAGGGAAAACATTTTTAATGAACTTGTGTTTTCACGCCGTCACAGAAACAATGCGTTGCTACGTAACAGTTGAACATCTAAATTTATCGCTACACAATTATGCAAATTTTATAGTGTATCAACAATGGTTATGAATATTCTTGCCATTAAAATACCCGGAAGAGTGAGTTAATCACGAAACAGGCTAGTCGGGATGAAAGTGAAGTCTCTTTGTTTTTCTTGCCTTAATACAAATCGCGCTTTCCTTCTATGTATCTAGCACTGCACTACGGCAAAATCGAAACACAAACTTCCTACGATATATATAAATTTGTTTTTTTGGTTGGTGGTGTCAAACATGTTTCCTCATTTCCATCTTTTCCTTTACCTTTCAAAATACTAATCGTTGATATTACGCAAACAGTCAGCTATTATTTGCAAAAAGTCACGACCCGAAAGTTCCTTCCGTTTCAACCATCTGACTTTATGAATATTCCTTTTGAAACTCATCCCTAAAGTTTGATCATCCGTGATGCTAATGCGGCGGTAAAAGAAAGAAAATTCGAGCTCTCATTGAATTGAAGTTATTTCGAAGGCGTTGTGTACTCTCTCAAAGATCCATTGCCTGAATCAGTACTTGTCATGAAGCGCAATTGAACAACCTGAAGCTTTAATGAAAAGACTTGCAGTAATTTAGGAAGTTAAGAAAATAGCAGGTGTCAAACGTTCAATTGAAGTTTGCTGCCAGGTTTGAATATTACTATGAAACTAAATTATTAGTACTCAAGATATCAACAAAACATTGGGCGAAATGAAAAAAAAAAAAACCAAAAAACAAAAAAGAAAATATTATACAAATGAGCATAAAAAATGTGCTTTAGCGAATTAATTTCTTCAGGAGATATTTAACTCTTCGAAAAATCTCTCTCTTTTTCCAGCAACATATAAATGGATTTGAGCAGGAGTTTAGAAAAGCCAGCGTCTCTGTCCAGCTGTAGTGGTTGTATGTTTGTATGTTTTGCCCTAATATCTGATGATAAAATGTCACAAATAGAACAGGAAAGTACAAAATAAAGTAAATTACAACCACAGTTAATATCTTTTTCGCTAGTTTCACTTCTCTTCGTGTCTGTAGCTTTTCATCCACTTGAAGTTGGTTTTTGACTCGTCGATGGTGTCTTCGTATAGCTATAAAAACGCCAATTTGGGTCGCAGTTGAGAAAAGGAGGCAAAGAAACCAAAGAGTTAGATGAATACCTCTCATAGCTTTATCTATTTTAGCCCATTCCATAGCAGTCAAGAATATATTTACCGTCCATATCCCCAAAGCATATTTTAGAACTCGTTTCGTTGAGAACATCGCGTTGTACCTTACACGTAGGCGAACAGCCACAAAGCGCTCATAACTCACAGCGGTTAGAGTCATGAAAGAAACACCAAAACATACGTAGAATGCAGAACTGTAGATAAGTCTTGCAAAACAAGGAACTGAACGATGCTGATTTTCCATAAGCCGGTAGGTAATATAACCTGGTTGGACCGTCAGCCCGACAAATGCATCTGACAATGCTAAAGTCGCAAGTAATAGATTGGAAGGAGTTTGTAGACGGTGAAAGTCAAAAATGGCGACAAAGATCAGCATGTTGGAAATAAAAGCGAATGGAGCGCTAATGATGTTGATGATGGCTGTTATTAAGTTTGTGATATATCGCTCAGAGGCATCATCGAAAAACGGATGAGGGAGATGAAAACAAAAAGAATCCTCAGAGGAAATATTCAAATCCATTACCACTTACTGCTGCCGGACTGTAAACCGACAATTTTGTTTGCTTCTCTTGTGTCAAGATGCATCACGATTGTTGATTCCCACTGAATAATAGGAAAACGTGTTTACGCATTATTATTAGCACCGTACAAGCTATGACGTGCTGTCACCCGACTTAAAATCGTCAAGTTCTAATCACACGACGATAACGTGCAGGGTTCCTATTGGACACCAATCTAACTAAATTTAATCATATCCCATACACGCGCTCGGTTTTTTGACATCACGTAACTTTAAACATACAATTATAAAATAAAGAAGCCCCGGACTCTGTTTTGTTGTAGAGCACGTAGGAAGCGAATAGTGGGCGAAATAGTCATAAGTTTCCCCACTACTTCTTATGGGAGATACTAGATTCAATTTAATTGCTAAACTTTATTGCGAGAGTCAAGTTAGGCATTATAGTAGTAACTGTAGTGTATTGAGAACATATTAAGAGTACTTGTATCAATACTAGTAATATCAAGAATTACTGAGTGATGTGAAAGTACTTTTATCAAATAACATAATTGTACAAGCTTATTAGAAAACTGATCGATGAATAAAGGCAATATGCATAGAAAGCAATTAAGGATTGAGTATCTCCTCTAAATGAATACGCAAAAGTAACCTTCTTTGAAAATAATGGTCAATGGTCAGACCTTAATGAAAATTGTTATTACAAAGTGCTGGGTAACCAAAGTGCGACAGGTATCACTAAGAGCAGGAACATATTCCATCAGCGAAATTTATATATATATAGATATACGTTCTTTTAAGGAAAGATATTTCGTCATGAAATTGTCTTCATGCTGTCACAGAAACAAAGCGCTGTTACGTAACAACTGAACATCTAAATTTATCGCCACATCAATTATGCAAATTTTATAATGCATCTGACTATGCTAAATGTATAATGCGTAACAACTGAACATCTAAATTTATCGCCACATCAATTATGCAAATTTTATAATGCATCTGACTATGCTGATGTATAATGCATCTGACTATGCTAAAGTCGCAAGTAATAGATTGGAAGGAGTTTGTAGACGGTGAAAGTCAAAAATGGCGCGAAAGATCAGTATGTTGACAATAAAAGCGAATGGAGTGGTAATGATGTTGATGATGGCTGTTATTAAATTTGTAATGAATCGCTCATAGGTTCCATCGAATAACGGATGAGGAAGATAAAAACAAGAAAAATTCTCAGAGGAAGTATTCAAATCCATGACCACTAACTGCTGCCAGACTGTAAACCGAACACTTTGTTTTATTTCCCTGTGTCCTGATGCATGACTTTTATTGATTACCACTGGTTAAAGGCAAAATGTCTTTCCACATTACTATTAGCACCATAAAAGCAATGACGTGCTGTCACCCGACTTAAACTCTTCAAATTACAAAAAAAAAGGTTGTTCTAATTTATCATTTGAAAAGTGTGGTTCTTTCTGTTCAAGCCCCTGGCATTGAATTTTCAATTTAAACAGTTTTCTACACGTGATGGGCACCAATCTAACTCAATTTAATCATACCCCATGCACACGCTCGGTTTTTTGACATTACGTAACTTGAAACAGACAATTATAAATTAAAAAAGCCCCTGTAGTGCATTGTTTTGTTGTAGAGCACGCGGGAAGCGAACAATGGGCAAAATAGTGAAGCTCTTCTCCACTACTTCCAAAGGGAGATACTAGTTTCAATTTTATTGCTGAACTTTATTGCGAGAGTCAAGTCAGGCATTCTGGTAGTAATTATAGTGTACTGAGAACATAGAAAGAGTACTTGTACCAATACTGGTAATATCAAGGATTGATCTCAAGTACTTTAATCAAATGACATAATTGTACCAGCTTATTAGAAAGCTGATCGATGAATAAAGACAATATATATATATAGAAAGCAATTAAGGAGTGAGTGTCTCCTCCAAATGAATACACAACAGTTACCTTCTTTGATGGTAAAAGGAGGAAGTGCGAATATATCCTTGGGCA